ATATGCAAAATGTCAGCAGCCTTATTGAAAAAATCACCTGACCATAACCAGCTCGACATGACTTAAGTAGGTCATGACCTTATCTACCACTGTACTTCTATTTATTTTATTTTTTAAAGTATGTACTTTTGACCAAAAACCACTAGAGTACATTAGATTAGGGAATTTCTAGTGTTAGATAGTCTTTTAAATACTCGGTTGAATTTTTATGAATTCAAATAGAACATTTATGACATACAACCGGTCAAAACTAGCTTGGGATTGAACCGTCATTGTTGTTGTAGTAGTAGTTGGTAGCGAAGCTAAGGAATGCAAGAGGTTTGGAACCGTATTCGCCAGAAAAACTGTGATGTATATAGTAGATGTTGAATCTTCTTGACACAATCTAGGAGTTCTTGTATGGTTACTTTTTCATATTTTGAATCTTCTTGGTGAAAAACCTAGCTCGACACTAATAGCAAAAGTTTGAATATAAAAATTTGGGCAACTAGATTGAAGGTTAAAAGATGTTCCCTCAATGTGGGGAAACCGGGGAATGGAAAAACGGGGAAGTCTAGTGAAATTGGAATCATTTGGAGGGTGTGTATGGGTCAAAATCTGATCGGAGTAATCTTGTCTAAGAGGGGATAACTAAGAGCTGATTAGGCCGAGGTCACGCTTAAGGAATAACATATTGGCAAGCTGAGCAGTTAAGGTCGAGGTCGAGCACTCAGATCGGCCCAAACAGCTAGTTTAATAATAAGATATTTTAAAGGAATATTCTACAGAATATTCTCTGCATTTATACTTTCAGTTAGATAGGGGAAATGTCTCATATAAGTAGGAATAGAGAGAGAAGAGAAGGGTATGTAATGTTCTATATGATAAGCTCTCTCTTGAAAAGTTGACTCTCAAGTAACTACAAACATTGTCTTTACAAAAGATTCGATTTGTTGTTGGTCCTAAGCTTTATCACATCAAATCCGAGAAAGCTTTCTATATTGCCACGTTTGATTGCCCTACATCATTGTCAGAGAGAGAATCATCCACCTCATTGAATATTTGGGTGAATCATTCTCTCTATTTACATTTATTGTCATTTATCATATTTATTGCTTGTCATTATTCCCTCATCATTCATAGAAATATCATTAAACACCCCCTTGGTATTTAATAGCCTTGAATGCTGTTTTACGTTATTTACATCTATTAATCTCAAATCTAGGATTTATTATATTTAACTAGGATTTGCCCATTACCATCTTATTTAATTAGTTTAACAAAAAGGCTTAACACTTTTTGGTCAAACAATTTGGTGCCGTCTGTGGGGACTTTCTAGTTAAAATTTTAGTTTCTTTTAAATCTAAAAAAAACGCACAAAACTTTGCAAAATTCAGTATTTCCTTGTTTGCACAAATCTGACATGGCAGGCAATGGAGAGGAAAAGAGAAAGGCGATAGCTGACCTCAACGCCAATCTCCTCAACACCATTAACGAAGTGGACGAAGCGGAGGGTGAAGACATAACACCAAACACCTCTCCCATGCGAAACAACTCGCCTCCATCTCTCGGCAGCGTCACGACCTCGCATGGCAAGGGCACCTCTACATCCACGACAGAAAAGGCACCTCCAGCAGTGAAAAAGTTACTTGAGACATGGTTGACAAATACGTTAACCGGCTTCCTCGACAAGCCCGCTCAGAGGTCGAATAGGGAAGAAAGAAGAGCTGGTGTCGCATCAATAGCTGACGAACAACATGCTCCCCTCGCATCAGGTATTACTCACAATGTTAGTGATGTAGGTAATGACACCCTCACAACCATTTTGAGGAAAATGGAGGAGATGGAGAACGAGAACAAAATGCTCCATAGCCAAATGAAAGAGCACCAAGAAAGGGTAGACAAAATACCGGGTGCCCCAAAACTTCTGCCAAAAAAAGACACGGGTCGGTTCGTTGAGCAACCATATAGCGACGAGGCTGCACCACACACCATACCAAAGACCTTCAAAATGCCGCCATACTTGAAAATATATGACGGCATGATGGACCTGGAGGATCATGTGACCCATTATGTCACTGCAGTAAAAGGCAATGACCTCGCAAAAGAACAAGTATCATCCATATTGCTGAAGAAGTTTGGAGAAACCCTAACCGGGGGAGCCCTGACTTGGTACTCACAGTTACTTGCTGTCACGACCCGGATTTTCCACCCTAGGGGGTCGTGATAGCGCCTACTAATGGAAGCTAGTCAAGCCAATTGTTCCAATTACTTAACCTTTTTTATATGTTTTAATCCTTCGACAATGGTGAACAATATCATATAAACATCGGAACTAAATAAGCGAAAGAAAAGAAATGTAACGATTTAAATATTTCCGACACAATTCCATGACTAAAAGCTACCCTGATGTGGTATCACAATTTCACAGACTGTCTAAGAGTACTACAAATAAAGGTCCGAAAAATAAATACAAACCGTTTCAGAAATACATAGAGGAAATAGTAGAAAAAGATAGAAGGAGACGCCAAGGCATGCGGACGCCTACAGGACTACCTCGGGTCGCCTGAATGGACTGAAGACAGCACCCTCACTGCGGTCCAAACGCTCCGGTATCAGTATATGCACACAGTGCAGAGTGTAGTATCAGCACAACCGACCCCATGTGCTGGTAAGTGCCTAGCCTAACCTCGGCGAAGTAGTGACGAGGCTAGGACCATACTACCAAATAAACCTGTGCAGTTAAATCATATACGGCGGAAATAAAGGCAGATATTTACAGTTAAAGAGGGGAGGGGAAAAGCATGCTGCGGGGAGTATCAGATAACAACAGAATACCAAAGAGGAATGTAAGGAAACCAAAATTCAATTGCTAACAAGGATAAGAGAAACAAACACAGTATTCACTTTCATTTCTTTCTCGTTGCAGGCGTGCAACCCGCTCCCATTTCATGTATCTCATTGCAGGCGTGCAACCCGCTCCCATTTCATATATCTCGTTGCAGGCGTGCAATCCGCTCCCATTTCATATATCTCGTTGCAGGCGTGCAACCCGCTCCCATTTCATATATCTTGTTGCAGGCGTGCAACCCGCTCCCATTTCATATATTACGATTGCAGGCGGGCAACCCGCTCCCATTTCATATATTAACACCAGTCATAGAAGAATCCCGGCCAGGGAACAATAATATAGCAACAATATCCCGGCAAGAGAACAATAATATAACAACATCCCGGCAAGGGAACAATAATATAACAATAACATCCCGGCAAGGGAACAATAATATAACAACAACATCCCGGCAAGGGAATAATAATATAACAACAACATCCCGTCAAGGGAACAATAATACAAATCATCATATTAAGCATGAATAAACCACGACGGAGTCACAACAATTACAATACAAGACTCACGGGCATGCTTGATACCGACATATAGATACTCGTCACCATGCCTATACGTCGTACTCCACAGTTAACACATAGCAAATAAGACACAACTCCTAATCCCTCAAGCTACGGTTAGACCAAACACTTACCTCGATGCCACGAACACAATTCAAGCCTCAACTACCGCTTTACCTCTTGATTCCACCACCAATTCGCTCGTATCTTGCCACAAGTTACTTAACTATATCAATAAATGCCAAATGAATCAATATTAATGCATGAAAATAGATTTTCTAGAGTTTTTCCCAAAAAGTCAAAAATCGACCCCGGGCCCACATGGTCAAAACCCGAGGTTCGAACCAAAACCCGATTACCCATTCACCCACGAACTCAAATATATAATTTTTTTTGAAATCGGACCTCAAATCGGGGTCCAAATCCCAAAATTTGAAAAACCTAAGTTCTACCCAAAACACCCAATTTCCCCCATGAAAACCTTTATTTTGAGTTGAAATCATGAGAAAAGATGTTAAAGATTAATAAAAACGAGTTAGAAATGACTTACAATCGATTTGGAAGAGTACTTGTCTTTGAAAAATCGCCCAAAGGTGTTTAAGTTTTGAAAGGGTTTGAAAAATGAAAAATTTTCAGCTAAGTTATGAATTTGCAGGTCGCATATGTCGCAATTGCGACCAGGGTTCGCAATTGCGAACCCTTTAGAAGACTGCAATCTTCGCATTTGCGAAGTTAATTATCGCATTTGCGACCACCCCATATTTCTGAGGGGTTCGCATTTGCGACTGAGGCCCTCCGCATTTGCGACCCAAATGATCACATTTGCTATCAGGCCTGCCCATGCCTTCTTTCGCATTTGCTATGCTTTATTCGCATTTGCGATCTCACATTTGCGAGCCAGGCTTCGCAAATGCGAAGCCTGCAGACCTGCAACGTATCAGCAATTTCCTAAGTGCAAATTTTACTCCGTGGCCTATCCAAAACTCACCCGAGCCATCGGGGCCCAAACCAAACATGCACACCAACCTAAAAACATCATACGGACTTGCTCGTGCAATCAAATCATCAAAATAATATCTACAACTATGAATTGAACCCCAAATTCATGAAATCATCCAAGAACATCCAAAATTCCAATTTCTCAACTTTAAGTCCGTTTTATACCAAACCAATCCCGATCTTTACCAAATTTTACAGATTCAACCAAATTATTATTTCAAACTTGTACCGGGCTCCGGAACCAAAATACGGGCCTGATACCATCAAATTCAAACATATTTCATTTCCAAAAACTCATATATATTCCAGAAATAATTTTCTGTAAAATTCATTTCTCGGGCTTGGGACCTCGGAATTCTATTCCGGGCATACGCCCAAGTTCTATATTTTCTTACGGTCCCTCCGGGACCGTCAAATCGCGGGTCCGGGTCCTTTTACCCAAAATGTTGACCTAAGTCAACCTAAATTCATTTTAAAAGCAAAATTCATCATTTTTCACAGATTTTCACATAATGACTTTCCGGATACATGTACGGACTGCACACGTAAATCGAGGTGAGACAATAAGGAGGTTTTAAGGCCTCGGAACACAAAATTTACTTTCAAAACAAGTGATGACCATCACACTTGCCCGTTCCATAAAAACATTCGAGGAACTGGGAGACAAGTTCGTCTCCACCCATGCCGGGGTCAAAAAAGCAGAGGCGAGGGTGAACGTCATATTCGCCATTAAGCAATCGCATGGAGAAGGGCTCAGGGACTTCCTCGCTCGGTTCAACCGTGTAAGAATGACCCTTCCAAATGTATCTGAAGGAATGGCGGTAGCCGCTTTCCAGAACGGGCTAAGCAGAAGTGGGTCGCGGGCGGCCAAAAAGTTTCTGAGCCGACTCATGAAATACCCTCCAACCACTTGGGACGAGATACACAACGTCTACTGTGCCGAGGTAAGAGCTGACGAGGACGATCTCAACGGACCTACCCAAAGTCTGACCTCGGTCAAAATGGAGTCTAGGAAAGACCGGAGAAACGACAACAGGAGGGATCTAGCGGAATCCCAACCTAATCGAGAAAGACATCGGCCTTATGTCAGAGGCACCCTCATGCCACCTCCACGCTATGATGAAGGTCCATCCAGGCCGCGAACGGGAATTCACCGAAATGAGAGAGGTATGCCCCCTTTATTATCAGCTCACAATTTTTGTGCTTCCCCTTCAGAAATAGTCTACGCACTGGAGAAGCTCGGCCCAAAAGTGAAATGGCAATAGAAGATGAGATCCGACCCGAGCACCAGAAAGTCAAATGCCCTCTGTGAATTCTACCAGGAACGGGGTCATAAAACCAAGGACTGCATCGCCCTAAGACAGGAGGTCGTGAATATGCTTCACCAAGGGCACTTGAAAGAGCTGATGAGCGATCGTGGGAGGGCCAACTTCACCAGGGACCTCCCAAACCACCTTCCCCAGTTCAGACCATTCAAATGATAATCGGAGGAGGCGACAACGCATATATCAACAGCATGAAGTTCACCACCACCCACAAACTCAAACGGTCCATCAGCCACGAATGGTATGACGAACTCGAAGAAAGTATCATATTCGATAAGTCAGATACCCACAGTTTGGTCTTTCCTCACTATGACGCTCTTGTCATTACTTTACGTGTCTTTGATACTGATGTAAAACGTATTATGGTCGATTATGGAAGCGGCGCGTGCATCATCCATCCTCGAGTTCTCACCCAAATGAATCTCGAGGAAAAGATAGTGCCACGTTGCATCACGCTGACAAGCTTTAACAATGCAGTTGAGCGGACATCTGGAGAAATCACACTGCCCGTCCTGGCCGGCGGCATCACTTTGGAGACCACGTTCCACATCATGGACCAGGATACGGCGTACAATGCCATCATAGGCCGATTGTGGATACATGCCATGAAAGCCGTCCCCTCCAGCTTATACCAAGTCATTAAATTTCCCACCCCCTGGGAGTGTTCTACATCCGATGAGAGCAACGCACGGCCCGAGAATGCTACCGCATCGCCCAAGACTGCACATACACCCAACAATTAAAAGGAAAGGCCGAGAAGGCATAACAAAGTCGGGGTCAGATGGCGATGAAAGGAAAGATGTCATCAGAGACCCTAAAATCATAGAAGCCACAAGGTCAACCGTAGAGGACCTTGACCCCGTCCAACTAGATGACGCCGACCATATCAAGAAAGCTTTAATCGGCCATAAGCTCCAAGATCCAGGTAAATTTCGCCAATTCTTAAAAAATAACGTAGACCTATTTGCTTTTTCCCATGCAGACATGCCAGGTATCCCGAAGGAGATAGAAACTCACAAGTTGAACGTCGACCCGTTTTACCCCCAGTGAGGCAATTTTAAATGAAAGTTCGGCTCTACAATAAATGACGCGGTTCACGAAGAGGTCGAAAAATTATCGGTGAACGGTTCTATCAGAAAATCAAAGTACCCTCAGTGGGTCGCCAATGTGGTCATGGTGAAAAAGATGAATGGAAAGTCGCGGATGTGCGTAGACTTCACAGATCTGAACAAAGCCTGCCCAAAACTTGTTCCTGCTGCCCCATATCGACCAACTCATCGACGCTACAGCCGGGCACGAACTGCTGAGCTTCTTGGACGACTACTTGGTCTACAACCAAATACTAATGGAGGTGGAGGACCAGGAAAAAACCACCTTCATCACCCACCAGGGGACATATTGCTACAGGGTAATGTCGTTTGGGTTGAAAAATGCAGGGGCAACATACTAGAGGCTAGTGACTAGAATGTTCAAAGATCAACTCGACAAGACCATGGAAGTATATATAGACGACATGTTGGTCAAGTCAAAAAGGAAGGAAGACCATATCGACCACTTGAGGGAAGCGTTCGACATACTCAGAAGGTACGGCATGAAATTGAACCCCGAAAAATGTGCTTTCGGTGTAACCTATGGAAAATTCCTCGGCTTTTTGGTATCACAAAGAGGAATCGAGGTCAATCCCGACCAAATCAAGTCTATAGAAGGAATCCCAGAAAGTCTAACCAGCAAAAAACAAGTGCAAAAGCTGATCGGTCGGATAGCCGCCCTGTCAAGATTTACTCGCGGTCCTCCGATAGGTGCCACAAATATTTTGGCGTGCTTAAAAAGGATAACGGACTCCAATGGAATTCCGAGTGTGTCACGCCCCAAGCTCGGGGAGCACGACCGACGCTCAACCGAGGGAACCCGGCCGACCAAGCCTGCTAGACACTTTCTACCCAACTCACTTACGATCAAGAGAAGGCATGTTTTCATTAATTAGGCAATAAGAGATCATACAAGTACATTACTAATCCATTTCATTAGTTACATCACTGTTAAGATTCAAAATACATACACCTTACGATTTAGTGGAACAAGAGTCCAAAATACAACATATTCCATTGACCTTCCCAACACCCATATACAACCTACATAATATCTACGGAGCCTCTAAGTAGATACAAAAGAGAGTGCTACAAAAGTGCCGGCAACAAGGCCCCGGCTATACCTCAAAACATGATAAGAAGGTGAACAAAAGATAAAAAAAAAGTACAGGACCTCGAAATGATGTGGGGCTCACCAAGTCAGCTGGAAAGAGGGTGCGCCACTAGCTGCGATCGACACTGCCTGCTATGGAACCACCTACATCCATTTAAAGATGTAGCGCCCCCGAAAAAAGGGACATTAGTATTGTCCAATGTACTAGTATGTAAAGCTAAACATTAATCTTAATAGAATTAACAGCGAAACAAGGGGAAGCAGTCATGATGTACCACAAGAGCTTCAAACAATACTAAAACATCAATTAAGGATCACATAAGTTCTCGGTTCAATTTCCATCTTATTAGGTTGGTAATCTTAGTGCCATGTGCCACAATCCACAATACCACCGTGTTCCTACACGAAGTCCAATCTCGACCCGATCGACTAGGTCATCTCATTTGAGACATCAACCGTATCCACAATATCAATCAATCATTTCCAGTACAGTTACCACCATATGTGCGGCATGGCGTCCGATCACGGCCCGATCGGCTAGGCCATCTCACTGGAGACATCATCCTTTCAATCAATCATTTCACTTTATATTTCTTTCCCATCTTTCAATACATTGGCACAAGTGGCCTTATTCACTAAGTCGTTCTTGGCACTTGGCCGTATTTTACAATTCATGTTTCCCTTTATACACATTCAACGTTATTATCATATCAATAGCAACAAGGTCTTTCATTCACGACTTGGTTACACACGGGAGCAATTTAGGTTCTAGAGAACATAGAGGCTTTTTCACACAATTTGACATAATAATCTTTATTCGAATTCGACTAGAAGTCTAAGCATTTGTTGCACATATTCCATATCTTTAACACATTACCAAATGATGAGATAACATGATGAAAGCACAGGAACACATATTGCACATATTTCCTTCCACGTAAGCACATTTGGAATAGCAAGTTCTATACGATCGATTTGGGGCTTACACCGATTTCATGAATACCAAGGGGGGAGGGTGGGGGGAGTTCAATTCTAAGAAGAGGGGGTTTTAGCCATACATACCTCAATAGCGTACTGATCAATCCAAAAAGTCTGAACTAACAAATTTTGCGCTGAGTGTAAAAGATTTGTGGTACTATAATAACACATAAATCTAACTTGGCACCACGAAATTCCGGGTTTTAGGAAGAATTTTACGGGGCCTTATATCCTTCCCCGCTTAAGATCATTCGTCCTCGAATAAGGTTCAAGGTTCACTTAGCAGCACCTTATGCAACTCAGTTTTCCACACCACACACTAGCAGCCCCAAATTTGACTAACTCCCTAAATTTCCAAAAATTTTGCCAGATTTTCCTTTGTAACTAGGCCTATCCACCCGTTAGAGAGCCCCAGAAACATATCTCACGAGTATATACACAACTCAACGACATAATAAAACTCATAACAATACCAACTGTGGCCTCATAAGCATCATATAACCCAAAAGAACACCTTTACATTAACTGAACAAGTGATACAATAATGCATAGGCAACAAGTTCATAAAAAGAAGGGATTACACAGCTATTCAAACAAGTGAGGGTATTTCTTTTTCATTTCTTCCTCGACTTCCAAAGTGGCCTCTTCAACCTGCTAGTCTCGCAATAACACTTTCACGGAGGCAATTTCCTTATTCCTCAACTTTCGGACTTGCCTATCAAGAATGACAACTGGAATTTCTTCATATGACAACTCTTCATTGAATTTAGTAGTCTTAACTGGCACGATAAGCGACAGATCCCCGATTACTTTCTTCAGCACAGACACATGAAATACCGGTGTACCAATGACATCTCGGGTGGTAGCTCAAGCTTGTACACTACCTGACCAATCCTCTTAATGATTCTGTACGGCCCGACATACCTCGGACTCAATTTCCCTTTCTTTCCAAACCGCATAATACCCTTCATGGGAGAAACCTTCAAGAATACCCAATCATTCTCCTTGAACTCTAAGTCTCTCTGACGAACATCCGAATAGGACTTTTGGTGACTCTGGGCGGTCTTCGACCGTTACTTAATGATCTTAACCTTCTCCATGGACGGATGAACGAGGTCTGGTCCTATCAATTCAGATTCTCCAACTTCGAACTACCCAATAGGAGATCTACACCTCCTCCCATATAATGCCTCAAATGGTGCCATCTGAATACTAGCATGGAAGCTGTTGTTATAAGCAAACTCTATGAGTGGCAAGTGATCATCTCAGCTACCTTTGAAATCAAGAACACAAGCTCGCAACATGTCCTCGAGCGTCTGAATAGTCCGCTCTGCTTGCCCGTTGGTCTGTGGATGGAAGGTTGTGCTAAGATTCACCTGCGTACCCAAACCTTGCTGAAATTTCTTCCAAAAATTAGATGTGAACTGAGCCCCTCAATCGGAAATGATGGAAATTGGAGTACCAGGAAGCCTTACTATCTTCTTGATATACAATTGAGCATATTGTTCCGCTGTGTCAGTAGATTTGACTGGCAAGAAATGTGCTGACTTCGTGAGTCGGTCCACAATAAACCAAATTGAGTCAAACTTGCGCAGAGTGCGAGGTTACCCTACCACAAAATCCACATTGATCATTTCCCATTTCCACATTGTAATTTCTATGCTTTGTGCTAACCCACCAGGACGTTGATGTTCGGCCTTCACTTGCTGACAATTCGGGCACCTTGCCACAAAGTCCGCCACATTCCTTCATGTCATTCCACCAATAGATTTCCTTGAGTTCATGATACTTTTTTGTAGAACCTGGGTGCACGGAATACCTGGAAGTGTGAGCTTCCGTATATCTGGAACACACAACTGCCCTTGGTACCTTAGTGTACCATCATCCATGCCAAGAGAAAAAGCCATAGTTTTATGTTTACGAATTCCCTCCTTCAGCTGTACCAACAATGGGTCATTGAATTGCTTCTCCTTAACCTCCTCCACAAGCGATGATTCAGCCTTATTCTGCGCAATCACTCCTCCTTCATTAGAGTCCACAAGACGAACTCCCAAACTAGCCAACTGATGAACCTTGCCAACGACCTTTGATACGCCTCCAAGTGAGCCAAACTTCCCATAGATTTCCGGCTAAGAGCATCTGCCACAACATTAGCCTTCCCCTGATGAATAAAATATCGATGTCGTAGTCTTTGAGCAACTCAAGCCATCTTCTCTGCCTCAAATTCAGTTCCTTCTACGTGAAAATATATTGAAGGCTCTTGTGGTTCGTAAATACATCCACATGGACCCCATACAAGTAATGACGCCAAATCTTCAATGCAAAAACCACCGCCGCAAGCTCTAAGTCATGTGTCGGATAGTTCTTTTCATGATTCTTGAGTTGTCTGGAAGCCTAAGCTATAATGTTGTTGTGTTGCATCAACACACACCCAAGCCCGATCCTTGAAGCGTCACAATATACCACGAACTCATCTGTACCCTCTGGTAGAGTCGATACCGGCGTCGTAGTCAATCTTGAATTCAATTCCTGGAAGCTCCTTTCACAACCATCGGACCATTGG